TTCATCTGTCCAAACCATAGTTTGGACTTTACATTCAGAGTTACATGAGTTTTGAATGCCATATCAGTACTATATCGCCTCGTCCAAAATATTTCCTCATCTCGTTTTTTTACTTTTACTTATCACTATGTTTGCCCTGAAGAGACACTTATGCTAGTGTTTTACACCTGAATTTATGTGCTATTGTTAAGCGCCAAACCTATCACAACAGCTCTTCTCAAAAAGGCTTTATTGTCTGTTGTATATTCTATGTTATGTTATGTTATATATTCTATGCCCCGATATTTTTTAACAGATCAAACCAAAATTTCAGTGGAAGTAGCTGCTACGTACAGAGCAAAGATGAGGCATGTTCTGTATCAATTATCTACATAGACGATCAAACTGTTTTACTTATTTTTACTATCAATAAAAATACATTGCCAACCCCCAGGAATCCAAGATTAACTATTTGGTGGAGTAGGATTAACAATGTTTATTTCCAGCCAACAAGGAACGTGTTGTTTTTACAAGCACAGTCGATGGTATGTGAAACTTTGCAAAATAAATATTAACTCAATAGGGTTGTTAAAAAGAACACTGAAAGGCTCCAAAAGAAGCTATAGACCAGCTGTATTTTACAGGATATTGCTTTTGCTGAATTATAATTCGATGATTTGGACGTGACCTTCAGACGCCCTATTAACTCGTCTGTGGGTGAAGTCATCTGTCTTGCGGGAAAACACCTATTGTCAGACTCATCACAACTTTACAATAAGCTGGCGGGTGATAAACATTAAAAGTCTTGTTCAAATGGTCTTGAAAATTTGGTCTACTTGACGTAGTAATCTACCACTGCTTTGGAAGTTTAGAAGTTTCTTCTTAGGGTTGTTTAATATTCACTCAGAGAAACTAAAGCGGTTCAAATGAGTTTCTAAAAGGAATCCTGCTCGATGTTTATAGATGACCGACTGGGTATTGCCACGACGAACTGATTAGCCATATTCGCCTCACTCGTACAAATGTAATATCCCCTATCTGGATATCCATGGCATCTTTGGATGATTGTCATAAGCTGTAATCCACACGATTGTTTCAAAATGTGGCTGCTTCATCTGAAATCAATTTTACAAAGTTGCAGCGGACTATTTTAATTGGTCTGTTCAAGTATGCAGTGCACCGATTGTTAGATTTATACATCTATGCAGGTTCAGCCTCTAACGCTATGTATGATGCTTTCTGTTAGTTCTAAATCTTTTACTGAGCCTAAAAAAATTATAAAAAATTTAGTGCGATACTAGTTTTCAGACCGACAGTTACGACGCAAGAAACAGAAAAAATTCGGTCTTCAGCAATAAGGATAGTAAGTTGGTGCACCTGTGGTAATCCTTCCAGATTGTTTTATAATGAAGGTTCAGATCCTCCCCGAAAATATCCACTGATGAAGTCGATACCACTTGTTCGAGAAAGAACTTTTAGCTAATAACTACCCGATGAAAAGAACGGAACCCCAATCTCTTTTTATAAAATCGCTATTTCTTTACCTCGTTGTTATAGCTTTGGAGATGATTAGTTCTGGATGGAGCAAAAAGATAGGACATACTAACACCTAAATCGTTATTCAAGATATGGAATCCCAATCTACGGTCACCTCGTTTTCTACGACGCAGTAGGGAGAAGAGGATCGGGCGTTTTAAACGCCCATTGTAAGGGAATTTGGAAAGACCTTTCACTAACTGTGTTCCCACATGTTCAACATGCTCAAGTATATAACTATCTTCATCAAAACATGGACTGGCTTCTTGGAAAAAGTACTTTAATTGTCGTCTTAGATAGGTGGGATATAAACTACGAACCGTCTCCTCCTCAAAGTATTCGAATGCTCAGAGAAGTGACTATAACGCCCCAAAACATTCAGCAGCTGTGCAGTAGTTGATGAGTAATGACTTCTTGTCACCCCTAAGTCTTCGTATTCCTGCACTCCCGGAAGTGATTTACCGTCAACAGCATGGTGGTACCTCTTACCGGTTCCTATGGGCATTAGTACACCATTTCTAGGCCATCATTTTGAGACCATCTGAATAATTCGCTTAGGTCATCTTGGAGATCAAGACGATCTGCTTCATTACCTACTGTTCTCCAGATTTTGACACCGTCTGTGATAAAAAGGCATCGACAACTAATGCGGTTTCGGGTATTTATTGACATAAATAATAAGAAGTAGGTGATTCAGGGTGATGACTTGGAGTACGCCACTTTTGACGGACTTACCATTTATCCTCACATTGTCTTCAGCCATAGAGGAATTTTCTTATCCATTATTGTACAACACCCATTTTTCCAAAGCTCAAGAGCTACTGCATAAGCCTCAGGTAGGAAACCTTCTCATATGCTTTGCTGAAATCTATGGATATCATATCAAGAGGTAAACCATTAAATTGGCTTTCTGTCCAATCCTCTCTCGGAATTAGTAAGTTGGTTAAGCATGATGCCTATCCCGAAACCCTTGTTACTCGAGCGTTGACAGATTGTATGATTCTGTGCGGTTTAGTAACATAACCTCTGTGCTGGTTAGACTGACAAGTCAGTAGTTATAAACGATCTCTCTATACTCAAATATAGGGCTATTCATAGCATCCTCCCGACTCCCACGGAGTTGGGTTAACCAAAGTGACATATGATTTGTTCCGAAATAATGTGCGCGAAGAGTGACAGTTATCATAAACGTAAGTCATCAGGAGCCATTCACTGATTAGGTCTGAGGTTGACGATCAATCGAAGGACAGTTTCCTTAATAATGTGTACAAGTCCCTTAGCTGGTAGCGCTGTGATATAGTTATGACAAGTAATGTTGACAATTCTCGCGGAGTAGACGTAACTGAAGTAGTCTGATAAAAACTCAGCCTTGGCCAGATTTTATTCGGCTGGAATACCTGAGTTTTCGTGCGAAAATAATTAAGGGACACCATCAATACTCTTTTTTCGTTCAACATACGACAACAATTGTTCTGGGAGGGTGTGGCTATCATGTGCCAACAATCTTTCCTATGTGATGTCACATCTAGTTATGCTATTTACACATATATTTCGTATTTTTCGGTATCCATGCTTTAATGATCAGTGGTCTGTAGATAAAAACAAGTTGCAGAAGTGTTTTCTACGCCTCAGCAACTTTTGAGTCTCCTTATCGATCCATATGGGCAGTATAATAGCCCAAATTTTGACCATGGGATGAATGGCAAAGTTATAGACTCGGATGTGGCTCCAAACTTGTTCCATTCGTCTTCCATCGATCAGTCTGCAGTGACCGACCAATCTTTTGAGATGGCACAGACTCTGATTAAGGGAATGCTAGCCCACCAGATAATTAGATGGGGTGAAGCAGGTATGTACTGCATATTATGTGTTCTGAACCTAAAGTACAGTATAACGTGATCACTGGTTGCTAGTGAGGGAAGTATTTAATGTCGTTCTGATCATCATACTGGTGTGTTAAGGTGAAGAACGATTCGTCACTAATTCAATAAGTGTCAGTTTTGCGATGCATTATACCATTGGGCATCGAATAATGATTGACAGTCGGCCTCTGTTAAAACATCCACCTGAAGTTGCAAGCTCCATCTGGTTGATATGCAGCCCACTGAAGTCTCCGACGACGAGGAAATTATCGACCTAACTCTGAGAACAGATATGACTGAAGGAGAAGCCGTCAACAAGACAGTGTGAACTACGGCTTTTTACTTCTACAGTCACTAACCCACAACCATACAACAAGCTACCTAGTATCTGCCACAATCATGCGCCTCTGATATGCTCGACTGTACGGGAAAGTGATCTCTGAAGTATAGTATTATACCTTTAACCTTACACTTTATAACTATATCATTTCTAATACAGATGTAACGTTCAATGGTTGGACAACAGTCCATATCTACAATGAGCCACTTTTTCATGACAACAATTATATCGGAACCTAATTAACTATGATGATTAAAAGTATTCGAATTATTGTATGAACTAGGAATCACTGGAACAGTGCAATTTATGCCAAACACAGCTAGGTGAGCACAAGCGAACGAATTGTATTTAGAAGTCGAACTCATCCACAAATCAAGTACAAAATAATAATTAGTTCATAGAAACACCACATTCACTTATCGTCAGACCAAACTCGGACATTTTATTTCTAAGACTACAAGCATTTTCGTGGCGTACATTTAAGATGTTTCGAGAATCACTCAATCCGCCCTTACAAATCTCGGAATCATTGACATCCATGACCTGACTACTCAAAAACCGTGGATCTTAAGATTTGTTTCGTCATCTTGCCTCTGAGTTTTTAACTCGGTAGAGATATTCTTCCACTTGATTTGATTCTCAAGTGACCAATCTGGTCAGATACTAATACATAGAGAGCGAGTTTTGTGTGCGTTATTTTCTATAATGTCCCCTTCGTCGTAACTTCCGAGTACTAACTTCAAAATCATTCTTCATGAAGTTTCACTTCATTCCGCTTTCCGAGTCCTATTACTTCAGTAATATGTACTCCTGAAACTCCTTGTTGTATATTTCTGATAGCAGATCCTACTAACTCCAAATCGTGTTCATGCCCTTGGGTAGGGTCGTTTACTCTTGACTCCTCCAGATTCCAAATAATAAAACCGGTAAAAGATTTGACTTCTTTGAAAACCGTATTCAAAGCTCTCAACTGTGTTGCCATTTCTTGACTATGAACTTATGAAAGCTTTTCTTTAGCTTCTTTTGGATCCGAGCGGTTTGATTTGAGAAAATTACTCATTATAATATACGAGTAGATCAAACTTTCCAACCACAATAGGATTAAGTCTAGTCTTGCTTCGGGACTTCGATGGAGTATTCTGTGACTTGGATTTTCTATCTACCACAGACTTAACAAGCGAATGGCGTTGCTTGTGGCCACTTTCCAATCCTTGTTTTTTTTTAAAGGCACACATAAATATGCACTAAATGTTGAGATAGAAATTGTGTTTTTTGAAGTGACTCTCAGGATTTTAAGACATCAGCAGAATACCTTGATATCCGGACTCTGAAAGACTACGCAAACCCACACACTTTTAACTGACCTCTAGCACTTCAAATGAGGAATGTTCGCGTGAATCTGACTACTCAAGGTTGTTGACATAAAAGAGGGTTGGATTTAATTGCATGGGATTAAAGTGGGCTTGATAAGTAAGTCTTATGTTTTCTTGTCTACTTACTTCCACTGCCACGCATATATATTTTGTTACATTTTGATTGTGCTTCGTACTCAAATTTAGGTTTAAAAATGTCTCAGCCGAGTTTTTCTAGAGTAGTAGATACGGTGGTATCATATATATGGAGTGTTTTTTCCTACTGCCATTGGAGTAATTGCTTCTGTGAACTTATTGTTCATCTTGTGTTAATGAGGTATGGCAACTTGAACTGATGTATATATGAGTCTGGTTCTACGTCCCAAGCAACAACGTTGTAGCTGACTGGCTGACTCAACTATCTACTAGGAAGCTTCATGTTATTAGTTAAATGTATTTATTGTGAAACGTCAAGCATGATGTAATACAAACACCAAAGAGCTTAGATTTCTATTTCATGAAATCTTAAGACATTCAAATTAAATTTAAAGGATGTAAGACCGCGGATAGATAATTCATTCGCGGCTCAGTTTTTATTCATTTATTTTAACACATAGATATTGGAACAAGGAGGCACCGAATACATATAAGCCACACAAGTCACTTGGTTCGTGAGTAGGCTGTGATACTGCCCGGGTGCTCAAACCGAATCAGGTGGTTTTCTTAGGGGGGCACACCCGGAGCCTTCGACCTGAAGGTCTGATCCACAAGGCAGTGGAGCATCGTAAGGAGATGCAGTCCCATGGAAGCCGGTGACCAACGATTGGTTCATAGGCCATTTGTTACTTCAGGATACTGGAGCCCATGTGCACCACTGGTTTGAAATCAGGGTTTTTCCAACTCCCCATAGGTGTGCAAAATGTGAACTACTGGCTGGTGCATAAATAAATCTTCAATCTTACACTTCCTGAGTCAATCCATATCAGTCTTTTTCTATTTATCCAAGTAGAAAGAAACTAGCGTCCGCAGAATACTTATACTCTACTCGTTTCTATTGTCCTCCGTGTCGAGGTAATTTAATCTATTCAACACTATTGTTTGTTATGAAGCATCTGGTACAGGTATTTTGTCGACTTTCAGCTGTTACATCATAAAGTAAAATTTTGTACCATTTATTAGGACTTGATTGCTACATAGAGTTTTTAGCACCTGTAATCTTTTAAGCTATGTGTGATTACTGATTACTGGTTATTCTTTACAAAAGATATTTTGTAAGTAAATAAACCATTTGTTATGTTTAGGAATCTAAAATTTACTTATCGTGTTTTCATTTTCTCTAAATTGTTCAGATTTCTTTGTTCTATTTTGGATTGATTGGACTCATTTTTATCAAGTGTTGTGAACCAGTACATTTTCAGTTACGGTTGTTGACTTCCTAACTACTGTTTACCAAGTATGATAATTGTAATCAACCCTGTTTCATCTCACGTGTTTAGGTTGAGTAATGACAATTTCGTCGATAGTAGAGCATAGTAGCCACATATGTAGCCGATTTCAAGTCACGCCTAATTCATTCAGCTTTAATCGTCAATATACCCAGATTTATTTGGCACGTCTTACTGCAGCCAAGGCAGTGTTGAAAACGTTGGCTGAACAGAGATGGTCAACTTCATCTACAAAATCTGAGGCATCGCATTTCCCCGTTCGAACATTAGCTGAGCTAAATGGAGATGAAAAATGCATAATAATCGGCACACTTTTCAAGGTACAAGTTTGCTTTCGAAAATTCCTACCATTATTTATTGTGCTTTAGAAGCGCAGATCTTTCATTATAACTTCTCTTGATGTTATTTTTGTACAAAGTATTCATTGATTATTTCCATGAGCGATTTGTGGAGCAATCTAATACTGACCGAAGCAGTAATCAATACCAGTCAGTCAGCAACGACGTAGAACTTCGTACGTACGTGCATCAATACCAGTTGCCACACCACATTAGCACAGAGATGCAATTGTCGATTCAGATCCCGTAGTGGTAGAGGTAGTAAAAGAATAAGCACTGATCGGGAAGATTAGGGTTTGAAGATGTTATTCAAGGAGTATAATACAGTGAAATAAATTTGGAAAGAGAAAAAAGAGAGGGACATGATGAATTCAGAAGATTAGAATTTGGGAGAACACAAAGAATGGATGCACCTGCGCCATTGCAAACGATTTTGAACCATGTCATTCAGGGTCTCTAACCATCGGTTGCTATCATCTCGCAGTCCCCAACCAGGTAGTCTACACCTACCAATATGACTCAGTCCACTTGTCAGTGACTTCATGGATTTGTGCCATGTTTTGGTCTGGCCGCCCCTAGCTTCCTTCCAATCTACTCCTACACCATAAAACAACGCACGTCGAGGCATTCGGTGGTTGGACATACGTAACACGTGTCCCAGCCATCTCAACTGATGAAGTTTCACTACGTCGTCAATTGATTTGCCATCCCTTCCTAGTACCCGTTTCCTAACAACTGCTTTACTTACTCGATGATCCCAGGATATACGAGCAATGTTTCAAAGACACATATGACCGAATACTAGTAACCTGCTAATATTCTCTACTCTTACCGGCCACGTTTCACTGCCATAAAGTAGGACGGAACGAACTGCTGCGCAGTAAACACGTCTTTTGGTTGATAGACGGATATCTCGCCTACGCCATAAATGACGCAAGTTGGCAAAAGCTAGTCGAGCCTTCCGTATCCGTGCTGGGGCACCTTGTAATAGCTACACTCTGAACTCCATATCAGTGAATGGAAACGGATATGGTTTTTTACCTATTTGTCTGGACACTAGGCTAGCAGCTTTATATTTGAAGCTTACAAAATGATTCTATATTTTTCGAACCGAGTAACAATGTAGTGTAGTGAATCGATACGCCGGACCAAAACATGGCACAAATCCATGAAGTCACTGACAAGTGGACTGAGTCATATAGGTAGGTGTAGACTACCTGGTTGGGGACCGCGAGATGATAGCAACCGATGGTTAGGGACCCTGAAAGACATGGTTCAAAATGGTTTGCATTGGCGCAGGTGCATCCATTCTTTGTGTTCTCCCAAATTTTGATCTTCTGAATTCTTCATATCCCTTTCTTTTTTCTCTTTCCAAATTTATTTCACTGTATTATACTCCTTGATTAACATCTTCAAACCCTAATTTTCCCGATTACTGCTTATACTTTGACTACCGCTACCACTACGGGATCTGAATCGACAATTGCATCTCTGTGCTAATGTTGTGTGGCAACTGGTATTGATGCACGTACGTACGAAGTTCTACGTTGTTACTGACTGACTGACTGATTACAAGGTGCTAAGTCTAGTATTGAAAGTTTTGTGGTTTATTTTTACACACAGTTTTTAAATTTATGGTTAGTTCTATAATTTCGTTTAGTGATTGTAAACATTAACAAGGAATATCTAGCAAAAAAGATTTTTTTCCAATAAACAGTTATGTTTATTTCACGGTAAATATTGAAGTACCACTCAAATAATGGTAGATTGTTGGAGGACTTAATTTTATTTCAAATCATTACTGAAACATTTTGTTTTTTCACTCTAGGAAATGCGTTTAAAACCTAGTGTACTACATGATATTGCAGCGGTAGAAATTGAAAATGTTGAATCAGACATTCGCATTTCTTCAACTGATACTCACTCTTTGGTTCATCTCACATCGGACGATGATTTACTTTTTCTTGAAGATGAAGTACAACGTATTGCTTTGAGTTTTTGTAGTCAGATTTCAAAATTTTGGTCTCCAGCTAATCTGGTTACAGGAGTTGTAGTTGCAGCTCTTGGTTACGAGCCTGAATCTCAACCCGGTAATTTCATAATATGCTCTATATTCATGAATACCTTTACTCATTTTTCATGTTCATGTTCATTCTGATGATCGATGTAAACAAGCACAGAATTTAGTCAAGTGATTTTCAGCCCTTATCGGATCACAAACTGGTGAGCACTCTACACATCTTCATGATTGTTATTTAACTAAATGTATAAACCGAAGCAAATTCCTAGTTAACATCTGCAAATCAATTTGCACATGTTTTCTAAATTCAACAAATATACTTTATAAGCAAATAAGCTGCGTTTTCGAAGGACGACTCTTAATTCAACATAGTTTCCATGTTTTAGACATAAATTGTCTTCCAACAATGATAGTCATAAAGTTAAATTAGTACTTTGTTTATTTCTTTATTGTTGCCCTAAGATAAAAAAACAGGTTGTACATTAAGATTCGTAATCGTACATATTCAGGAAGTGTGTTATCAAAATCGAGCTTCATTCCTAGTATAAATATTTCACTCATGTTAGCGTTGTACGTTGAGCTACAAAAGATGTTCTTCAACTCTTACAGCTTTGATGAGTATCAGCAATACTCAGCTGACATTATGCATAATTTACTTTTTATTTAGGTTATTTCATTATTAAACATTTGTAGAAACTAATCATACTCATACTTTACATATTGTAAATAACTATTTTGCGAAGGCGAAAGTATATGTAATTTCTTCAATGAAACAAGTGATTTTGCGTGATTTAGTTTGTTTATGTAGTGTGAATATATTAATTTATAGTGAATTTTATTTTCGAAATACTTCAGAATGCCATGGAACATAAGTGATTGTTCTTCAAATGTGTGTATTATAACTACATTGTTTATAAGTAACTAGAATTTATTCCTTCGCTTGTATTTCACTAATCAATCGTAAACTCTTATTGTTCGACACAATTTTTATCTTTCCGGCCACTATGAACCAATCATTTTTGTACCTGTTTGCGTTGAAATTCAACTGCTGTTGTGTTCATTTCTTTGAATTTGAGTTTAACATTTACCGATTATTATTTGTTTTTGGGACTACTTAGTATTTATGCATATTCATCTATAAATATTCCGAGAACCTAAGATAGTCTTTTGATTGAATTGACTTCAGTTGAGTTGTTCCGATAAATCTAACGCTCATGTACATGGAGAACATTTTACTGTTTGTGTTATATACATCTTTTTATAAACGAGGGGTTATCGATAAACGAGATGCAATGATACAATATGATTGAGTGATAACTGCTCACGAATCTGAATCATTCGCACAAACTTGTGAATGATGTAAGATCAAAAACACGACCGTCAGCCAAAGTAATGGGTTTTTTAGTAAAATGACATGCTTAAATCTCATGAACGGCTGGAGAATATCAGTTTTGAAGTGGGTGTGACTATTAGACTTAATTCCTGCCCATCGTTTCATTTATTTTTAAAATTTTGAGTGAAGTTTAAGATAATATTTTAGCACGAAGTCTTTTTATGGATCAAAGTCCACTAATTCTACTCTCTTGAATAACAGAACATGACATCCTAAATAGAAATGAAAACCGTACCCGGAAAAATTCATTCCTGAGACAATTTCATCCTATGTATAATGAAGTATAAACATCAGTAATGAAGTTCCAAAAATAGTGGCAAAGTTGTAACAGCTGCTAAAAACTCCCTTCACTTACAAAACCGTCAACCCATATCGCAACAATTGGAAGTCATACATCAGATCATTCGCGAGTTTTGTCTGTGAACGTAATTGTAGCAATACATGCTTTGTGTACATGAGAACTAGATAGCACTGTGTCTTTCACAGCGTACTCGGGTTTTTAACACCTATTTTGGAAAGTGCTAGAAAAGAGTAACATTTGTGGCATAATAGAATGATGTAAATCTCCTCTCGTCAACAAGCCTTTTTATACACTGTGCTTTTGCCTGTTAGATGAAATGGTCAATAAATATTAGGAATACATCCACGTAACCCTCTTCGTCTCTTGTCATCTCAATAAAAGTAGTAAAAAAGTTCGGACAGCATTAGTGTGAGTGATATAAGAAAAATGTTGGTTGAAAGTTACACTTATATCCATTCAATATTATTAATAATTTACCACCTAAGTCAATTGTTTCTTAATCTTAGGTTGATTAATACCAGTGCTTAGTATCTAATTACAAAACAGTGGATTATTTAGTGGTCGTGTACTATTTACATAGTGTATGGGCTACAAATATTCTGAGATCTGAATTTTTACCCAGTTACCTATTAAATCTGTAGATGGATTGGAGTTCGATTACATGAGTCCTTAACTGCGTCAAATTTCCCAACAATAACTTCTGTTTTCGGTCCACTGTATTTGTAGCAAGATAATGCAAACATTTCACTTAATACATTTCAATAAAAACAGTTTACTCAGCTTTGTTTTCTTAAGAAATATCAACTCACAGCATAATGTAATTTGATTTCAAAATAATTTAAAATCACTGAAAATACCATTTTTATTAATAATCACAGGTTCTTTCTACATTGAAGACATGTTATTCTTAGAACCTCAACCTGAAAAACCTATTCATGTTCAAGAAATTTCCCATATTGACGTTAACACAACAGATTTTCGCAACTCTGGACCTTGGGTTGGTGTTGTTAGTGCCTTAGGTTTTGCAGGTAATGGTCAAGTAAAACCGGGACATTCAATAGCTCTTCAACTTCTTGCCGATTGGATACGTTGTGCTGGAGACTTCCATGGTTCATCAGAGTTACACACTGACTCTGGTTTGATACATCTTCTGATTTTGGGTGATTCAATTCAAGCATCAAAATCAAGTATAGATAATGATGGTGATAAGTGCACTCCAGCTGTACGTCTTACACAGCGTGTAAGTTTAAAAAGTCATTTACTTTCATTTGTCATGAAGTACCTTATTTACAAGTCATTCAGGTCGAAATATTTACGAGTTCAAGAATTTTAAAGTGTGGATTACTTGTGAAATAATAACACCAAATTCACTGTACTCATCAGTGAAGACTGATAGTACAGCTAGCTTGGAGTCAGGAATCTTTTATCCTTGTAGCATAAATAACGCAATATATATTCAAATGGTTGGGATTGGATTTTAAAATTAGAAAATCTATATGTATTTATTAAAAAATATGAAACTCACAGAATTCGATATGCACTAGCGCGTAATCGGGTTATCAAGACAATGTTAACCAGGTATCTTGTAAACGAATATATCGAGACTTAATAATTAGCATAGAACCAATATTAGACGGCCATTTAAAACCAAGAAGCTCCGTACAGCTGTTGCACTCTGGTATGGAACTTTTCAGCAGTGCGCATCCGCGATTTCACTGGGGACCTCCAGATCTTACGGCGAGTACCTAACCTCAGTCACTGAGCCGGCGTCCAACAGTTTGCACGTCTAACTCCAGTAAATACGCAACTATTTTCTATCATCGATGAGAAACTGTCTCTTTCGACATGTTTGAACTCCACTGATCACAGCTTCTCACTGGGACTCTTAAAATTGAACAATATCGCGAGTCAATTGAAGTTAGGAATGTAAACTATTAGATTGCATCTCAATGGTTTAAATATTAGACTCTCAACTAGGGACTTGAAGGCCCTTGGTTTGACCTCCAGTGGTGTCGTAAATGGTTATCGATGTGGATTTCCATTTTAGGACGAAACAGCTGTCTAGTCTTTTTTAGTTTTCAATGGTTCTTCAAAAAATAATCAGTCCATGATGCAAATTATGAACCTTAACTACCTCAATGAATCTGACAAACCTTATGGTAATAATTATCAGATTTCAGGAAATCATAGTTCTTGGGATTTATTTAGGCGGCACTTCCAACTACTCAAGTCTATGAAAGTTCGAAGATAATATAGTTTTTCTGTTAGGTATCTGAAGTGCTCACAAAATAATTCCTTGTAAAACTTTCTATTTAAAGCACTCGCAGATTACTATAATCTTTGTACACGGTTATAGTTTGAAAACATTTTATGTAAATGTATAATGGGGTTGACAAACATTATTTAACCATTGATTTTCGGCATATTGTCCCAGTCACAACATGCTTTTCGTGATGTTTAAAAGTTCTTAGCTGATAAAAGGTGATATGCTAAAAAAACCGTATCTTTGGTTTTTATGGGTTTTTCCAAGGGATTTTCTTGATGACGATTGCCCATCATCTATTTTCGCTAGTGTAATTACTGCCAGTATGGTAGTACAAGTCACACAGTACTGAATAAATACCGACTAATTTTCCTTGTTTTGGAAATCATAAAGGCATGAAACAAATTAAAATCTAGTCATTTTTGTATGTGTCAGTTTTTGAGTTAATTGTCTTCCTATTCAGGCTCGCTACTTAACTCGTAATGCCGATGCAGAAACTGTGACCGCTATGGCTCGTTTTGATCAGTGGTTAGCCAGTCTCCCTATAGGATCAGGTTGTAAAGATAATGGCACTGATTTTAATGGTATATCGATAGATTTGTTGCCGGGACCATCTGATCCTACTTCAGTCCTCATGCCACAACAGCCGATTCATTCAGCCGCCTTACCTTGTGCCGTTTCTCGTTCTGGTGGTGTTGGCAGTGGAAGTTTATGTGGTCGAACAAATCCTTATAGTTTTATGTTGAGAAATCGAAATATTCTGGCTACTTCTGGTCAGGGTGTAAATGAGTTATATAGGTAAGACTTTCCCGTTCAGTTGTATAACACACTACTATTCATATATACGTGTAGGAAACAATTATTTGATTATCAATGATATTAGTGGTTTTTATTCCACATATTTCCAGAAAATGGCTGATATAGTCAACCTCCTCATTTAAGCTTGAAATAATGTACGGGTCTGAATTATGGAAGATAATTGTCCAATTACTAGTATAGGGGTTGTGGAGATTATTAAGTTTTTGATTGAGATCTTGAATCAATTGATGTTAGACCATCACAATTGAAAACCTGGAAGCACTGGACAGCCGTTTCGTCCTATTGTGGGACTCCTCAGCAGTGCGCATCCACGATCCCGCGAGCGGGATTCGAAACTATCACCATTGGATGCCGGCTCAGTGGTCCAGTTGGTTAAGCGTTCGCGCGCGAGACCGAAGGCCCTGGGTTCGAATCCCGCTCGCGGGATCGTGGATGCGCACTGCTGAGGAGTCCCACAATAGGACGAAACGGCCGTCCAGTGCTTCCAGGTTTCAATTGTGATGGTCTAACATCAATTGATTCAAGATCTCAATCAAAAAATTGTCAAATTGACAGATTTGAAGAAAAAGGACGTCATAATAATAAAAACTGAATAATAATGAAGAAAACTTGTTTAAGGGTAATAATAAATGAACTGCTTTCTCAAGCCGGTCTACCATTCATGGATGTGTTAAAGATGAACTTCCTTTTTGCACCACATCAATGTGCATCTATAAATTTGCTTGCTTATGTGGGACAGGTTACATTGGCCTCACAAAACGATCACTTTCCAAACGCATCTCAGAGCACCCGATATGGCTTTTAAAAGAAGAATGCAAAATAATTACTATTTCAATACAGGAGCATTTGTCAACTATGGACACATTGCTCCAAAGGAGTTTCTTTTAAAATAGTCTACACATCAAAGGGATTGGATCGAAGGGAGGTCGAATCAAAATCGTACTCCTTGCTAAGGCATTGGCAATCCACCAACTCAAGCTCGAACTTTGCGTGCAAAAGCGATACGTCCAACCTCTCATCCTTGTTCGTCCCTAATTCCCTTTTGTAGTTTTTCTCGATTTTTTTTATTTTTTATTTTTATCATTACTATTGATTTTTTTAAGTAGTGTTTTGTAATCGGTTATTATTATCCTTAAACAAGTTTTCTTCATTATGATTATTCAGTTTTTATTATTATGACGTTTATGTTTGTCCTTTTTCTTCATATCCGTCAATTGGACAATTATCTTCCATAATTCAGACCCATAAATTATTTCCAGTCTTATATTCTTCTCTTATTCCTAAAGTATTTTGTTAAATAAAGAAGGCTAACACTTGGAATCAATCTAGGTTTTATACTGTTGCGTGTTATAATAGATTCTTTGGTAGTTATGTATGTTTGTTTCGCTCATTACACTACTGAATTAAAGTGATATAATTATGATTCTGAGTAAAATCATTTCTTCCTACAACTGAAATCTGTGCTTTATTTCGTTGTAATAACAAAACTGTTATTTGAGTAAATTTGTTGTTCAGTCTATGTACTGATATAGTTGTCCAGTCGTTTTCTTTCTTTCTAATATTATCCATCCATAGCCTAGTCCAGTGCAGATTATCAGAATGAACTACTGGTTTATCCAAATTTTGCATAGACCTAATTCACAATGTTTGGAGTGGTTGTAAAGTGAAATGAAGTACAAAAAGTATTGAAAGTAGTATGTTTGGGAAATACGACAGGTGATTCGTTAAAAATTGTGTTGAATTTTAAGACAGTTTAACAGAGAGAGATGATGATTTCTATCCATCGGTCTTTGAGCTAGATTCTCATTTAAGTAATGTTAATTCTACAGGTTTTATCGATTATTTTTAAACCTCTAGGCTAGTTAGTTAAGACTTATGGTTAAGTATAAAATGCTAAATTAAAAAGCTTTGATCCAGTTCTTAACGTACTGTGTTTTCAATTACCAGACTGTAATTTTTAACTCAGTTTCATGTACCTTGTTTTGGGTTACCATGTATTACCCTCAGCTCATAATGAAGTGCGGGTAAAAGGAGGCACATGGGCTTGTGCTTGCTTACCAAGTTAACTTAATAGCGTACTGTACTTCATTAAAAACTGACTCACCTGATCACCGAATTAAGCGAATTCTGAACCTAGCTGGTACTTGTGAAACAGTGGTTTAGCGGATAAAACACGTGTTTTTCAACCACAGAGCCACAGGTTGAAAACTAAGCTCACGTACCTTAGTTTGGACAGCTAAGTCAAATCATTAACCCGCATCCAAAAATTATGACTCAAAGTCAGTTGCATGAAGACTATCTTAGTTATAGAAATTATATAGGTAATTTCAGGATTCGTTTACCAAAATAGCAAATATTTACACCTCCCAGTTATACTAGTGAACAGAGAAAGTTGTCTTTGTACGTTCGTGTAACTATTACGGTCATATTTTTCAGTCGAATTTGTACGTTGTCAACTGGTCAATCGTAATTCATTTTATTTACTTTGACTTATTTGATTTAAAAATCTATCCTTACTATCGTCTCTGCGATTTCGTACAGTTGGTCAAACTTGCCTTCAGAATTAAGGTGAGTACTATTCTTTGATTTAGGTCGAGAATTAGTGTTTGGGATATATATATAATGACTACAGAGCATTTCAAATGCTATTGGGACTAAAGCTACAAATTAAAAAGGCGATTCCGTTCATTGTTTTCTCTTTTGATGCTGCACTTAATACACTCGGTTATCCAAAGTTTAATAATTTTAAAATTGGATACAATTATTGAGTAAATTTAGCAGACATTTAATGTGTGAGTGATATTTGAAATGCTAAATATTCAATATTTAACAAAGTATATATAGATTACTAACTAACATGCCTTTCTATATAATCACCTAACTTTATCTTTTAAACAAATGAGATTGGTTGATATCGTAGTTTTCATGTAAAAACTATGTTGGGACAAAACAATCTAAAGAATTATGCTTTAAGCAATATACTATTGTCATATAACACAGCTCAGAAGACAATTATTAACATCTCAACTAGACTGTTTCTTATGTAGTTTGATAGTTAATTGTTTACATTTTTAAACCATGAAATTTGTATTCTGTCATTTACCGCATTAATATTTTTTATTATAAATTTTGTTAGATATACAAAATTAGAGAATGCTTGTGACAGGATGGAAGCTACTTTACTGTGGGGTCACTTAGCTCCTACTTGTCCTGATACTCTTGGAGGGTATCCGATGACCAATGTCGATCCACTTCTTCTCCGTTCATCTTCCACTTCATCTGCTCAAAACTTTAGTCCTGACTATCCTGACATATACATAGCTGGTTGTCAATCTGAAGATCAGCCATCTTGGCGACGTGCTCGCTTAAAGTGGAGTGAGGAGATAGATAAAAATAACTGTGGTTGCTTATTGGTATCCGTACCACGTTTTGATTCGACTTTCTCTTTCGTACTTATCAACTTAAAATCACTTGATTGTCGTGTAGTTCGCTTTGATTCAAGTTTGTTAGATGAAAATTGATGTCAAGAGTATAAATATATCATCTTACTTTCGTATGATTGTTAGCGCTTTTTAGTAACCTATGTGTGCTACTAACGCAATATTAGTGTGTTTTGCGATGTTAATTCCTTGCGGTCACCTGGATAACTTTCCGATATATGTCAAGAATTTTTTAATGAGTAACCAAAACATCCTACTGAGGCAACCTATACTCTTTCGGTGGTTACCAAATATGTCGATTTTTGCACAAACCAAAAATTCCACTTAAAGGGAAGCTGAAAGACTTTGGAATAAATATTGAAAGATAATGTCCTGTCACATGACGACGTACTCAATGATTTGTGGCTGTACGACATCTGATATCAGATTACTCACACTGATATGGTAAGCCAATCAGAAATAGCCAGATGAGAAGGTCAATCGATGGTAATACGAAGTGGCCTGAAGGACAATTGCACTCCACTGGCTAAGAAGTGGATTGGTTCCCTCGATGGTAGAGTTGCATTTATATAAATGAGTATTTGTGCATTTAATTCAGTAGCCCAATATGCCTTCTTGTCCACTCTTGAGTTTTCATCTAACTAGTTGGGGGGTTAGCTCTTAGAACGTCGTTAATCCGTTTCAGATTCCCATAAACTAGTACGCCTCATGTAACATTGTTATCTGAAGATAAATTATTATTATATATAGGTGGCACCACCTTAGGACTCTTCAAATAATAGCCTAGACTTGATGGTCCAGAAATCTTCGCAGGGACCATTTAAGGTGTGGGTAGTAACAGAATGCGCGTTCCGTAAGTGATAATGGGTTACAATCTAGTCAGTAACAAAATGGTTACTAGGGAGTATATGTAGGTGTTTGCTCTCGAATGACGAGCACGATAACTGAGGTCGTCCACCACTCGGATGACGTCACCTGCGAAAGGATTAAGTTTGTCGCGTAACAGTGCTTTTCATTACCTTACCGGCAGCGATTAGGGAGATTGTCATTTTCTAATTCGTAACAGGCTCTTCTACTTCTTAAATAGAGCAAGAACAAAGTTTGGTGCAGAATAATATGAATTCATTTTATTTCGTTAGGTTCTCATCAGCTGATTACAACCTAAATTATTTGAAAATTCAAATTATTACAGATATTGACATATTTATATATAAGAGTGTGATTAAGGATCAATATATGTGTATGATGATGTAGTGAAGATTCAGATAGAGTTAATGAGCTCATAAAATGTTTGATTCGAATAAATAAATAAAGTTTGAGAGGGAAAGTTTTGGAACATTGAAATAGTGATTAGAACTCATGAAAATAGATTAATGGAATAAAGAAAATATGAATTGAAATCAATCATTTATGTATGATGTAATTTATATTTCAGAAAGAGTTGCAATAATGACGTAATAAATAAATAAATAGGAGCAGATTAATAGAAAGAGTGGGGGTTATTGTTACCAGGGTAAAGAAAGATTTATTACTGTCTCTTTTTGTATACATAGATCTGGTTTTAAACGTTTGATTGCTAACGCTTCAGCGAATTTCAAAAGGTTCGAGTTCGATTGTTTGTTAATCACCTTGAAGGACTTCAGTATATCAGCTTTATGTCCTGTATCAAGGAGATGTCTTGCGATAGCACTGTTGAATGCGTTCAATCCATTTAACCTTAAACTTTTCGGAATATGTTCTTTGAATCGGACGTAGGCTCTCCTTTCTGTTCTACCAATGTATACACAGTTGGTGGTAACATGAAAGGGATACCTGTCGACCTTTGATTGTGTCAAAGAGCATGTTGTTTTGGACAGGACAATCAATTTCGCTGCAGGATAAGTTCTTGTCAGTGCAGTTTTTAATCTCATATTGATCTACGACCTCGTGGGTCTCGTTTGCCCCACATGTATGGATTACCGAAAATACATAAACAAGGTTATCCTCTTAGACCTATTTTATCAATGATCAATTCACCATACCACAAAGTTGCACGATGGTTGGCAGATAAGTTGGAACCAGTGCGTCAACGATTAGCCACCTATACACGTGTTTTGTCGTACTCGTGTTTATGTTGTGTGCGCTTTAGCGTCTCCATCTCTGTGGGAAATGCGATAATCCGAACTAATTTCATTATATTCTGTTTCGCATTATCTTCCAATCTCCATCTACCAAGAATTAATGATCTTTCGTCCAATTTCGTTATCATATTGTGAACAAACCGTTCGCAGAGAGCAAATCTCAGTATTTTGGATCAGGTCTGAATAACCCCGTGGATGTTTCGCGTAGCTCTCCCGGAAATAAATGGACTAGGACAAGGTTCTCCTCGCCTGAATCCGTCTGGGCATTCTCGTTTGATGCTATCATCTAATGGAAATCCACACGAAGAATGTTACTTGGAGTTCTGTTTACCTTTAGCATGTCGCCGTTAGCAGTTCGTGAGTCATTGGTGATCTGTCGCTTTCAATCCTGGTTGCGTTTCCTATGCAATGGAGTACGATTAACGAATCTGTCCATTAAGTGACAAAAGAGATAGGGACACATAAGTGTTGCTCCACGCGTTTTCTAATCTTAGCACACAGTACGGCAGTTGTTAATTTCATTCTAGAGATAGTGGTAGATTTCAGTGGTGCAATCTTGGATTTAGCTAATAGAAGGGAACAGTGAACTTGATGAGAGACATCTTCAAAACGAGTGTACGCCGCAACAGGCATTGGCAAAGTAATGAATTTGAATAGTCAGATTTTGTCGGCTAATATGCTGTAATACTAATTTAGCTGGTATAACATCTAGAGCTATAAACCGAACCGGGTCGAATATAGAAGCTACGTATCACAAAATGACACTACTGATAGGGGTCGCTTCGGATTCGCGCACTCTAAAGCAGATCGTATCCTTCCAAACATTGCACTCTACTCCTAGAGCTCTTTCATTTCTCTCCATAGATAAACATGTCTGTGTTTCTTTCTCTGGAGTAGGCTCCATTACATCAAAAGTGCTGCTGGCCTATTCGGTCTGATTAAAGCCATCTAGACGTACAATGTTCTTCAACTGAGAATACATTAATTTAGCTTCTTCTGATGCATCAACACTGGCCAATAAATCTTCAACGTAGAATTGTTCTCTTGCTCTCTGTATTATACACTCGGGAAACTTAGCCTTGTTATCTAAGATAGACCTGTGTAGAGCAAACGTAGCGCAGCTTGGTGAGTAGGTTGCTTCAAACGAATCTACTGTCATCCTATAAGTTTCTGGTTCAATTCTTCTGTCACCTTGTGGTCACTATAAGGGGCATCTAGATCC